CAAACTCTTGTAAGTAGCACAGGTTTAGAGTATCAGGCTTATTTTACTATTAATTTTATTTAATTTTAATCCCTATAAATCGTCGAAAAAATATGTCGGAAATGTGAGTAAAAAACTACATGGATAATCTGTCAGAAGATATAAAACAGTTCATGGGTAGCACATTTAGTAATTATATGTGATAATATGGTGTATGTGTATCTCCATGATAACATTACTTTTATTTTATTTATTTCTTAGTCCATATAATACTGGATAATCTGTCAGAAGATATAAAACAGTTCATGGGTAGCACATTTAGTAATTATATGTGATAATATGGTGTATGTGTATCTCCATGATAACATTACTTTTATTTTATTTATTTCTTAGTCCATATAATATGATTTTTACGTATTATTTAAAAAACAGACTATACTGGAGATGTGTGATTATTGCCATTATAAATTTGCTTTTTTTTTCTGTAGGAAATAACTAGTGTTGACCAGTTTGAAGCTTTTTCTGGCGAAGGAAAGATCTTAAGACAAAAGAAATAAAGGTTTTTTAACTTGTAGCAAATAGTGTTTTAGTGTGTTTTGTACACCTCTGGACATATACTGTAATTTGTATGAAAAAAAAACACAGTGCTTCTTGTTCAGATTGTTCAATTCCACATTCCTTGCTGCAGTTTTCTTTATTCAAATTGAAAAACTGTTTACTTTCTTCCAGAAATCCCAGTTATCTTTTTTTATTCACAATATATTAGTCAGCTAAAGTTTTCTGTATTTCTTTTTTAGCTGAGCATTATACACATTATAATGCTAATAATACACATTAAATCCATCATTTTTTCTTCAGTTTGTTACAAATTAGGTTCAGTTGAAATTATTGGATTGTTTGTTTAAAATTCTCCAAGGCTGGTGTGTCAAGTATTCAGCTATGAAAGACATTTGTGTAACTGGCAGAAGGTGATTTTGTTACAGTAGTATCTGTGTCATTCTTCGTAAACCAGGACTAATTTAAGGATAATACTCAGCTTCTGGGAAATATTAGTATTTCAAAAATTAGTGAAACAAATCATTTTTTCAAAGTAAATTTTAGTTTTATGGCTTGTAATGAAAGATATGTAGGCTGAGTAGCTTATCTGATGTAAATAATGTGTGAAGTTGTTTATTATGTGGTGTTATATCACACTTGGACATCTTCATACATCCAGTTTGATGATGATCGACTTGGTGGTAAGGGCATTTGACTCCCAATCTGGGAGTTGTGGGTTTGGATCCCATTCCCAAACATGCTTGCCCTTTCAACCATGAGAGCATTGTAATGTGAAAGTCGATCCCACTATTCGTTGGTAAAGAGTAGTCTGAGAGTGGGCATTGGGCTGCCTTCCCTTTAGTCTATCACATCAAAAATAGGGATGGCTTGCATAGATAACTCTCAAGTAGCTTTACATGAAACTTCAAATGAAATTGACAATGATTTACTAATAATTAGTATAGTAGCTCTATAAACCCTATATCTGTGTTGGATTTAAATAGATGGGGGTAGCATAACATGGTAGTTTCAGTGGAAAACAAAAATTATCCACATTTTATAATATGTAGCACTTTTAGCTACATAGTTGTTAAATTTGAAACTTAGAGCTGCTAATCTTTGGTTTATATGGTAGTTGGTTAGTGTTATAATAAATATTACTTTTTAAATGCAGGCATTTTAAGGACATGATTTAAGCCATTAGATAATGGTGGTAGATGAGTCTGTTTTTTATTTTATTTTAAAAGGAAGATAAGCTGGCAAAATATATAGTAGGATTGTTTTTGCTGCATTAGGTTTCATGAATTTTGTTTTAGTAAAGTGAAAATTACCAAGGTGACTCAATATATAGCTTTCAGATGTTCTTGTTTCTTACCCCGATTGGCTACAAAGGTTACGAGACTAATCAGAGGGGTTGGAAGATGTTTTTTTTATTGAGTTTGATTTTCTCAACTACAGTCTCGTACAGAGATTTAAAATTCTCGACACTGATATATGTACATGTTTTAAGTGAAGGAATTAGCAGTGGCATTTCTGGGATTTGGGGTGGGGATGTGTCAAATGTTATTACATGCAAAAGAAATAGGCCCTGTATCTTTAAGAAGTGTTTATTTATTATTTTCAATTATCGAAAAAGTCGACATAACTTAAGCTCTCTTTGCACACCTTAGCAATAGCCTCGTGCTTTTTCAAACTACCATTAAACCCACTCCCTTGGTCCCATCTGGCTGGAGCTACTTCCTTCTCTTGCATGGCCAGGTGGTTAGGGTACTCGAGTCACAATCTTCTGGTCGCAGACTTGAATCCCCATCCCACCCAACATGCTCGCCCTTTCAGCCGTGGAGGCATTATATTGTGACAGTCAATCCCACTATTAATTGGTAAAAAAGTAGCCCAAGCATTGGTGGTGGGTGGTGATGACTAGCTGCCTTCCCTCTAGTTTTTCACTGCTAAATTAGGGACGGCTAGCGCAGATAGCCCTCGTGTAGCTTTGCTCAAAATTACATAAGTTACATAACTACCCTGCTTGCCCCCAGAAAATTTACACTTTAATGTCAGTAGTAGTCACAATGTATGGAGAATTTATAGAATTAAACCTGATATGGGGAGGGGGGGTACACAGAACTCTCCAATGGAGTTTACCCCACTAGATATTAGCTGTCAGTGATAAAATATTGTAAATATAAATTCATGTATACATGTATATATCAGTGGTGAAATAAACAAAAACTTAATTGATATATATATAAAGTGAAGAATATAGAACCAAAATATATGGTATACAGGGGTGGTAATTAATCTAAGTAGGTTGAGGAATGGTAAAAGATAAGATATTATCCACACAGTCCTGAAAAATATTAAATTTACTTAGAACAGTTAGGGAAACTTAAAATTTTTTGTAAGGTCAGTAATGTATTATCTTTATCAAATACAACAGTATATATGCTAGTTTTGGGAATCGACTTTCAATTTTTTAATGAAACTGTAGATCTGAGATATTGTATTTTTAAGTAATAAAGTTTCCTTTCCATTGCTTCTCATGCACTAGCTGTTTGAAACTTTTGTACTGTGAACATGTAATCAGTTTTGATAAATGATATTGGTTTATAGTGTATTTAAAATTGTCCATAATTTATGCTGAACTGTTAAAATAGTATTCAATGTATAATGATGAATATAAACTTCTGCAAAGCAACAAAAAAAATCCACAAAAATGATATTATTAAAGAAAGATTAGTCTTGAGAGACCTTCTGTAACTTGTTACTTTATTTATAAATTCTACTTGTTAACTTGAGTAATACAGTTTGCACTAACGTGAGGTATAAACATCCTTATGTGAAAGTATTCGTAACACATGTCCAATCAATTACAAAATTCTCCCAGTGGCACAGCGGATTTACAACACTAGAAACCAGGTTTTGATACCCGTGGTGGACAGAGCACAGATAGCCCGTTGTGTAGCTTTTGGCTTAACTACAAAAAATGACGAAACATTATTATCTTCGAGATGATTTACACATTTTGGTAAAATTAATGAAAGTATAATTTTGATCTCTGGTGTAAATGCAAGTTCTGAAACCTGCTGTTCAACGTTAATTGTTTAACATGGTTAATAAATCTGGTATATGATGATAATCTTAAGTTATATGTGACCTTCAATGAACTACAAATGATTTTTGAACTACTCTATATGAGAGTAAGAAACACAAAATATTTCTACTGGTTAATGAAAAAATAACAATCATTTCTGAAGTTTAAGACCATTTTCATAGACATGGTGAATCGGTGGCCTAAGTGAAGATTTAGGTTTCAGTTTTAGTTGTGTGTTGTTTCAAAGTATTTACTTGCAACTCAGTTTGTTCTCGGGAACCTCTGGGGCTGATTCTTATATTAACTAAGAGTTTGTGAATCACTTTCAGGCATGTAAAAAATACACAATATACAGATAGATAGAAAACTTTACATACAGTTTTTTTTTCCTAGACAAGTTGAGAGTAAAATGAGAAAGAATTATGAAGTATTTGTGCCGTTAACATCTTTGCTAGATTAAACAATTTCTCAAGAAGGGAATTTCAAATTTTAATATAGAATAAGTTGATAAAAGTTAATGTTTATGTGAGAAACAGTGCTTTAAGTAACTACTTTCCTTTTATTGAAAAAATAAGAAACCTTGTGATATTTTGTTCCTAGGTGTATTAACTTGAATGTGGACTGACCCTGTTTTGAACAAGTAATGTTGACTATAATTCCAAGTATATCTTCATGAAATGTGATACGTTTTAGTCAACGATACAAATCTGTTGTACAACAACACATCAGTTGTATTACTAATGTTTTTATACTAAAAATATGTCTGAAAAATGCTGAAGTCAATCTGACTCCATGAAAGGTGGTTGTCCTATAAAAATAAATATCATTTTTTCGATCTTAAAGTTTGCAAATTGTATTTCCTTAACCTTTATAACCTACTAAATTCACATTTATAGTCTTTTGAGTATCCGTATATATATATATATTGTATTTGCGTAACCTTCATAACCTATTAAATTCATATCTATAGTCTTTTGAGTATCCGTATGTATATTGTATTTGCGTAACCTTTATAACCTTCTAAATGCACATCTACACAGCGTGGTCACAATAGACACCACCTTTTCAGAAAAAATTAAATTTTCAGTCATATTCACATGAATTGATATATTTATAATTTAATTAATATCTAGTAGATCTTCCT